GGGCTGGCCGGTATGTGATGATGAGTGAGCAGCAAAACCGGAAAAAATCTTTCTTCCTCAATTTTTGGATGCACCTGCCCCGCCTGTTTTCCAAACTGCTCATCTCCGGGTTGGCCGGTAGCATATTGATCTACCTGCTGGGCATGGCTAGCTTTGGTCAGGCCATAGGGTTGGGCCTGAGCTTTACCATTATTACCATGACTGTATATTTACTTTTTAAGCGATTGCAAAAATGGTTGCACCTGCGAAATATAGGCTCCTTTAGGTTAGAGAACTATATGTTGAAGGGGCGGCCCGGCATCCGTGAAAAGCTCACATTTCTTTTTCTGGCTACCTGGAAGTTTATTACCTATAACCTCCAGTTTGCTCTCATCATATTGTTGTTTTCACCAGACGGTTTGCCGTTGGTATTCTGGTTTACAGTGCCCGTCTATTACCTGATCAGCTCTTTATTACCCAGTATTGCAGCAGCTGATTTTGTGCTGAAAAGCGCTGTGGCCATTTGGATATTTGAACCCATCTGGAATAATGAGAGCTTATTAATACTGGCCAGCATTACTATATGGTTTTTTAACGTGGTGATCCCCTCCTTTGCCGGTCTCTATGTGATCATAAAAACCAATTTATTCCGCTCTTTTAAAAAGAAATTTTCACGAGGTATCCTGAGTGGCCTCTAACGTTAAGCACCCCGCCACCTTCAAATATCAGGTACTGTCCACGGATACCCTGTAGCATGGCCTTCACGTCCGGGTTTTTATCCAGGTTTATCCCTTTTACCCTGGCTGGGTAATTTTTTACCGGAAATTGCAGATCATATACGGTCTGGTCATCCGAAACAAACCGGGCCAGTTCAGCATTTAAGAGCCCGGACAAACGTTCTTTCTCCTCCAGCAAGTCAGCGTCTGCATCCTCATTTTTAAGCATTCGCTGCCAAACCGTTTTATCAGACACCTCTTCTTTAAGCGCCACCTCTATAAGCCCGGCCTCATAACGGTTGGTCGTTACCGCTAATACGATAGCCTGTGAAGCTCCCTGATCCGTCCAGCGGGTGGTTTTCTGAGCCTCACGGGTTACGCCCACTTTTACGCCACCTGAATTGGCCAGGTATACTATATGTGGTTGTAACTGGTACCCTTTTTCAAAAGCCAGATCCCGATCTTCAATGCCTTCCTGAGCTTTACTCAATTCCGGTCTTATAATACTTTCTCCCGCTTCAGGTTTGGTAAAAAAGCAGTTCTTACAAAACCCCATACGGTAAAGATCCTGAAATTGATTGCCACATGATACGCAAAACTTCTGGTTCTGAAATTCTATCTTAATTTCACGCCCGATAAGCTCGTTCATTTTGATGAAGTCATTTTCGGTGATCAATTGGTATTGCACCGGCTCATCTATATAAGAGCTCATTTTTGCGAGCTTGGAAACAAATTCCATAAAAAGGGATTTATTAAATTTAAAGCAGGGAAATTACTATAAATTATGAAGCTCGACTTAGTCAATTCTTTTATCAGCTGGCGGATGAAAAAACGATTCCACCAGATTGAGCTATTCATGAAATATCCGGTTGAAGTACAACAGGAAGTATGGCAGGGACTCTTAGAGCGGGCTTCCCAAACCGAATGGGGAAAGCGGTATGATTTTAAAAGCATCCGCTCCTATGAAGACTTCCGCTCCCGTATACCCCTCCATTTTTATGAAAGTATTCAAAGTGATGTAGAGCGGTTAAGGGCCGGAGAGCAAAATATAATGTGGCCCTCTGAAATAAAATGGTTCGCCAAATCCAGTGGCACCACTTCAAGCAAAAGCAAATTTATACCGGTGAGCCAGGAAGCTATTGAGGAATGCCACTTTAAAGGTGGTAAAGATTTGTTGAGCATTTACTGCAACAACAAACCGGAAACCTCCATATTCTCTGGTATGAGCCTGCGATTGGGTGGTAGCACTTTCATCAACAACAGCGAAAACAACTCCTTTTATGGAGACCTCTCCGCAATTATTATTGAAAACCTTCCGTTTTGGGTGGAGATGCGCAGCACCCCCAATAACAAAATAAGTTTAATGGAGGAATGGGAAGAGAAAATTGAAGCCATTGCAAACACCAGTATTAAGGAAGATGTAAGCAGCCTGGCCGGTGTACCCTCATGGATGCTGGTACTGGCACGTAAAGTATTGGAAAAAACCGGCAAGAGTAACCTGCATGAAGTATGGCCCAACCTGGAATTATATATACACGGAGGCGTTAATTTTTCCCCATATCGCCAGCAATTTGCCGATATCCTGCCCAATTCACAGTTCAGCTTTCTGGAAACGTACAACGCCTCTGAAGGCTTCTTCGGGATTCAGGATCTATCCGGCCGCCAGGAACTTCTGCTCATGCTGGATTATGGTATTTTTTATGAATTCATTCCAATGGATGAATTTGACGGAGAGAACTCCCTGGCCATCCCATTGGGAGAAGTTAAAACTGATGTTAACTATGCCGTAGTCATAAGCTCTAATGCTGGTTTGTGGCGATATATTATTGGTGATACGGTGAAATTTACATCTACTTCCCCCTACCATATTCAGATCACCGGCCGCACCAAACATTTTATCAATGCATTTGGTGAAGAGCTGATTATTGAGAATGCCGAAGCAGCATTGCAAAAGGCTTGTGAAGATACGGGTGCTGTTATACTGGAATACACAGCAGCTCCTGTATACATGGAAAATAATGAAAGTGGAGCCCATGAGTGGTTGGTGGAATTCAGCCAGGATCCGCATAACCTGGAGGCGTTTATTGATATTATGGATAAACACCTGATGCTACTGAACAGTGATTACGAAGCCAAAAGACATAAGAATATGGCTTTAAAAAAGCCACTTCTGAATACCGCTCGTCCGGGCCTGTTTTACGATTGGCTTAAATCAAAAGGTAAGCTGGGCGGTCAACACAAAGTACCCCGTCTTTCCAATAACCGGAATCACATCGATGAATTATTGGCATTAAACTCTTTACAAGCCGTGGCCGGATGATCAAAGCCTTTCTGTATATACTGATCGGTGCGTTTTTTACCAGCCTGCAACAGGATCAAAAGCCTGAAAAGGAGTTTCCACTTAAAAACCTGGATTTTTTTACCATTGATCAATTTCAAAACATTTACCATACCCGCTTTGATCAATTGAGAAAACTGGATAAAAGCGGAAAAAACATATTCGAATACAGCAATCCCTTACTGGGAGCCATTCATTCTGTTTCAGCCCTTGACCCATTAAGCCTGCTGATCTTTTACAAGGACCAGGCACAGATCACCACTTTGGATAACCGGTTAAATGAAAGCACGGCTATCCGGCTCACAGATATTGGCTTGAATGATGTTCAACTGATCAGTCAATCCGATCAAAACAACGTATGGGTATATGATCAGGCTACAGATCGCTTATACCGTATTAATATTGCCAATGCGGCCATTTCCAATAAAAGCCTCAACATTACCCAGCTGGCCAACACTGAAAATCAACCGGCTCAACTGGAAAGCACCTATGATCATGTGTTCCTGAACCTGCCGGAAAGCGGTATTCTTTTGTTTGATGCCACCGGGGCTCTCATGCAAACCATAGCTCTTAAAAGTGTATCTCACTTTTCTGTGTTGGGCGAGAACCTGTTTTACCTTAAAAACGACACGATAAGAGGTTTGAACCTAAAGAAAAATACCTTATTAAAATCGAGTTGGCCTGCACCGGGAGCAATTTCGTTTACTGCCGTAGCGGGCAGGATTTACGTTTTAGACAAAAAGAAACTCTGTGTATATTCACTAAGTCTTTAAATCCGTTTTTTAGGCCTCTATCGTCTATTGCTTTTAACGCAAAGTGGTAGATTTGCGCTCTTGCCGTGGCCTTATTGCGGATAAGTTAAAAGTATTAAAAATGCACATTGCAGTTTCAGGAAACATCGGATCGGGCAAAACCACATTAACCAGCCTTTTAGCCAAGCATTACAATTGGGAACCCCAGTTTGAAGAGGTGGAAGACAACCCTTATCTGGATGATTTTTACGGTGAAATGCAGCGCTGGTCTTTTAACCTGCAAATCTATTTTTTGAATTCACGATTTCGTCAGGTTAAAGAAATCCGGCAATCCGGCAAGAATGTAATTCAGGACCGAACTATTTACGAGGACGCACACATCTTTGCTCCCAACCTGCACGCTATGGGCCTTATGCCTAGCCGCGATTTTGAGAATTACCTCTCTCTCTTCAATTTAATGGAAAGCTTTATTGACGCACCTGATCTCCTGATCTATCTAAGAGCTTCCATACCTACACTGGTAGACCAAATCCAGAAAAGAGGGCGTGATTATGAGAACAATATAAGATTGGATTACCTGAACCGCCTGAATGAACGTTATGAAGCCTGGATCAGCAGTTATGACAAGGGGAAACTCCTGGTGGTTAATGTAGATGAAAATAAGTTTGCCGTAAAACCAGAGCACCTGGGTGATATAATTAACCGTATAGATGCAGAAACCAACGGCCTCTTTTAAGAAGCGGCATACTTTAAAATACAAGCATTAAAAAAGGGCCTTCACTGAAGGCCCTTTTTTAATATCATCAATCAAAGTGCTAAGCTAGTTTGCAAATTTCACTTTGGCCTCAAAGTGATTATCACCTTTAAGGCCAATATTCATATTTACCGGAAATTGTGCATTGGCAGACAACTTAAGCATTCCTGACCCTGAGTAGGAATCATCACGCTCATTGCGCTGCATATTGTTCACGTACAGGTATACTGTATTACCCGCGGCTTTACCGGTAAAGCCTTCTAATCTGGAAGGGTCAAGACTAATGGCTGCATTCAGCATTTCACCATTATTCATACCCTGAAATTCTGCAGAACGTACATTAACTTTAAGCTTATCATCTTCAGTTTTAAACAGGGTTACCATACCCTCACCGGCTTCAAAAACATAACTATTGGCACTGGCTAAGGTGTTTATTCCTGACATATTTGTCTGGGTATGGCCCATTGCATCATCTGCCTGAATGTGCGGAGCAATAACCAACGATACAATTGACATCAGCTTGATAAGAATATTCATAGAAGGACCGGAAGTGTCTTTGAAAGGATCACCAACGGTATCACCAGTTACAGAAGCTTTGTGAGCCTCAGAACCTTTGTATTCCATTTTGCCATCAATTTCAACCCCTTGCTCAAAAGACTTTTTAGCATTATCCCAGGCACCACCAGCGTTGTTCTGGAAAATACCCATTAACACACCACTTACGGTTACACCAGCCAAAAGGCCACCCAGCATTTCTGCAGACGAAGTTTCAGGGAACACACCTTTAAATCCAAAACCTACAAGTACCGGAGTGATAAGCGCTATAGCACCGGGCAACATCATTTCACGGATAGAAGCTTTGGTGGAAATCTCCACACACTTGTCATACTCGGGCTTAGCCTTGTATTCCATAATACCGGGGATCTCCTTAAACTGACGTCTAACCTCGTGTACCATGGCCATAGCAGCGCGGCCCACAGCCGAGATGGCCAGTGAAGAGAAGATGAAAGGAATCATACCTCCAACAAATAGCATGGCCAATACAGGTGCTTTGTAAATATCAATACTGTCAATGCCTGCAATACCCACAAAGGCCGCAAAAAGAGCTAAAGCAGTAAGAGCAGCCGAAGCAATGGCAAAACCTTTACCGGTAGCAGCAGTAGTATTACCTACAGCGTCAAGGTTGTCCGTACGCCCTCTAACTTCTTCAGGTAACTGGCTCATTTCAGCAATACCACCCGCGTTATCTGCGATGGGACCAAAAGCGTCAATAGCCAATTGCATAGCCGTAGTAGCCATCATACCCGCTGCGGCAATAGCCACACCGTATAAACCGGCAAAAGAATAGGAGAATATAATACCGGCCGCCAAAATGATGATGGGTATTACGGTAGACTGCATACCCATAGCCAGACCACCAATAATGTTGGTGGCATGACCGGTAGAAGATTGTTGGATAATACTATTTACAGGTTTTTTACCCATAGCGGTATAAAACTCAGTAACCCAGCTCATCAAGGCTCCAACTATAGATCCTACCAGAATTGCCCAGAATACATCCATGTTTGAAAATTCATAACCTCTGAGTGAAAGAGATTCAGGAAGCATCCACAAACAAAGTGGGTAAGAGGCAATAACTACCATTATGATTGAAGACCAGTTACCGATGTTCAGAGCGTTCTGAACGGAGCTGTTCTCATTGCTAATGCGCACAAAAGACATAGATATAATAGAGAAGATCAAACCTAAACCGGCAATTACCATTGGCAAAAGAATGGGAGCCATACCGTTAAAATTATCATCAGAGGCTATCTCCTGACCCAATACCATAGTAGCCAAAATAGTAGCTACATAAGAACCAAAAAGATCAGCACCCATACCGGCAACATCGCCCACGTTATCACCCACATTATCGGCAATAGTGGCCGGGTTTCTAATATCATCTTCCGGAATACCAGCTTCTACTTTACCTACAAGATCAGCACCTACGTCAGCAGCCTTGGTATAAATACCACCACCCACACGGGCAAAAAGGGCAATACTCTCAGCACCCAATGAAAAGCCAGCTAATACTTCAATGGCAGTTTTCATTTCGTGACCGGTCATTAAAGCACCTTCCGGAACAAACATATTATAGAATACTATAAACAAGCTACCCATTCCCAATACCGCAAGGCCGGCAACGCCAAGGCCCATCACAGAACCTCCCGTAAAAGATACTTTGAGAGCTTTTACGAGGCTGGTGCGGGCAGCCTCAGTAGTACGTACGTTGGATTTAGTAGCAATGCGCATCCCGATGAAACCGGCCAGTGCCGAAAGAAACGCACCAATAACAAAAGCGATGGCAATAACGGGGCTTGAATGCTCCACCATGGTACCGGAATACCCGAGCAGAAGACCGGCAATGACCACAAAATAGCTCATCACCTTCCATTCCGCTTTGAGGAATGACATAGCACCATCGGCAATATAACCGGCCAGTTCTTTCATATTGGCTTCACCAGCACTTTGCCTGGTAACCCAGCCCGATTTAACGAGCATTACTAAAAGACCTACCAGACCTAAAGCAGGCACAACATAAAGCATCCAATTATCCATTGTAGAAAGTATTGATAGACAAAACATTAATAATAAGGGGCGCAAAAGTAAACCAAAATAGCAAAACAGCAAAAACTAAAAAACCACCCGGAAAGGGTGGTTTATATTATTGAAATTCAGTTTTTTATTATGAAATGTACATAACGCCTTTCACGGCATCTATTACCTGCTTGGCATTGGGCAGAAACTCATTTACCAGCGTGGGAGAATAGGCCATTGGGGTATCTGCAGTGGTAAGTCTGCGGATGGGAGCATCCAGAAAATCAAAAGCCTCACGCTGCACTACAAAGGAAACTTCAGTGGCAATTGAGCTCAATGGCCAGGCTTCTTCCAGAAATACCATCCGGTTGGTTTTCTTTACCGATTGGATCACCGTATCGTAATCAATAGGCCTAACGGTGCGCAGGTCAATAACCTCACAGCTAATGTCTTCTTTTTCCAGCTCTTCCGCAGCCTTCATGGCTTCTTTTATAATTTTACCGAAAGAAACTATAGTTACATCGCTACCCTCTCTGCGAATATTAGCTTTTCCTATTTCAAGCGTATATTCTTCCTCTGGTACTTCTCCTTTATCGCCATACATCTGTTCGGATTCCATGATCAAAACCGGATCATCATCACGAATAGCACTTTTCAAAAGTCCTTTTACATCATAAGGAGTAGAAGGCACCACCACTTTTAAGCCCGGAGTATTGGCAAACCAGTTCTCAAAGGCCTGTGAATGGGTAGCTCCCAGCTGACCAGCTGATGCTGTAGGACCCCGGAAAGTAATGGGTATATTCAACTGACCACCACTCATCTGATACATTTTAGCCGCATTATTAATGATCTGATCAATGGCCACCAGCGAGAAGTTGAAGGTCATGAATTCAATAATGGGACGTAAACCATTCATGGCAGACCCTACTCCGATGCCTGCAAAGCCAAGTTCTGAAATTGGCGTATCAATTACGCGCTTGGCACCAAACTCATCCAGCATACCTTTAGAAGCTTTGTAGGCACCATTATATTCGGCCACTTCCTCACCCATGAGATAAATATTTTCATCTCTGCGCATTTCCTCGCTCATGGCTTCGGCAACGGCTTCTCTAAACTGAATTACACGACTCATTAACTGTTAATTTTAAGGAGGCAGCAAAAATAGGAATTTATAAACATTAGATCCGGACTAAGGTTTCATTTAATATGCATGCATAACATTTTATCCTTGGGGCAATTTTAGTTATTTTCGCAGTCCTTATTGAAAAATTGATTTAAACCATATATATGAAGGTATTAGTTTGTATCAGTCATGTTCCGGATACTACTTCCAAGATTAATTTCACCAGTGATAACAAGGAGTTTGATAAGAACGGAGTTCAATTCGTAATAAACCCTTACGATGAGTTCGGCTTAACCCGTGCCATCTGGATCAAAGAAAAGCAAGGTGGAACCGTTACTGTATTGAATGTAGGTGGAGCTGAAACCGAGCCCACCCTTCGCAAAGCGCTTGCTATTGGTGCTGATGACGCCATACGTGTGGACGCTGACCCTACCGATGCTTTTTATGTAGCGCAGCAAATAGCAGCAGTTGTTAAAGAAAATGAATACGACCTGGTAATTGCCGGGCGCGAGAGCATTGACTACAATGGTGGTCAGGTACCAGGTATGCTGGCGGCTCTCTTAAAATGGCCTTTTATTAATGGTTGCATGGGTCTTGAACTGGATGGCACCAAGGCTTCTCTTATCCGTGAGATTGACGGTGGAAAGGAAAAACTAAATGCCAATCTTCCCATGGTTATTGGCGGTCAAAAAGGTTTGGTAGAAGAAAAAGATCTTCGTATCCCTAATATGCGGGGCATCATGAGTGCGCGTACCAAGCCTTTGAATGTAAAAGAGGCTGCAGATGCAGACCATCGCACTAAGGTGGGTACTTATGAAAAGCCAGCTCCTAAGAGTGCTGTAAAAATGATTGATGCAGATAACATGGATGAGCTGGTAAACCTGCTCCACTCTGAAGCCAAGGTAATCTAAATCAAACCTCAAAAAAAGAAGAAATGTCAGTATTAGTATATATAGAAAGTTGGGAAGGAAAATTTAAGAAGAACTCTTTTGAGGCCGCTCAATATGCTGCTAAAACAGCTGAAATGATGAGCACCGAAGCCATTGGGGTAACACTGGGAGACCTTCAGGATGATGCCGCAGTAACCGGCAAATACGGTTTAAAAAAAGTAGTAAGCCTTACCGGTGATGATTACGCCCAGTTCGATAACTTTAAAGCAGCTAATGCTTTGAAAGCAGTAGCTGAACAGGAAGGCGCAGATACCATCATCATTAGTGGCACCTGGAATGGTAAGGCTGTGGCTCCGGTTTTAGCGATAGCTATGGAGGCAGGTCTCATCACCAACGCGGTGGAGCTACCATCTTCCACCTCTCCCCTTACTGTAAAGCGCAGTGTATTTTCCAGTAAAGGTCTGGTGGAATACTCTACAGATGCTTCTAAACGTATTGTTGTTTTCATTCCTAATTCTACCGGTGTTACTGAAGGTGAAGGACAGGCCGAAGTGACCAATGGATCAGCATCAATTGGTGAAGTTCCTACCGTAGAAGTTACCGATGTAGACCGTGTGAAAGGGAAGATCCTTCTGCCCGAAGCGGAAAAAGTAGTTTCCGGTGGTCGTGGTATGAAAGGCCCGGATAACTGGGGAATGCTTGAAGAACTTGCCGATGTGCTTGATGCGGCAACGGCCTGCTCCAAGCCTGTTTCCGATATGGGATGGAGACCTCACACGGAACACGTAGGACAAACCGGAATAGCTATTAACCCGAATTTGTACATAGCTGTAGGTATTTCCGGAGCTATTCAGCACCTGGCCGGGGTGAGCAGTTCCAAGACCATTGTGGTAATAAACAATGATGCAGAAGCACCGTTCTTTAAAGCTGCGGACTATGGTGTAGTAGGTGATGCTTTTGAAGTAGTACCTAAACTCACTGCAGCCCTTCGCGACTTTAAAGAGAACAATTAATGGAGCGTATCCGGCTTCACATAAAAGGACTTTCGTATAGCCAAACTCAATCCGGAGCCTATGCCCTGGTTTTAGGAGAAGAAGGTGGCGAACGGAGGCTCCCCATTATTATTGGTGGTTTTGAAGCGCAATCCATTGCTATTGCATTGGAAAAGGATGTAAATCCTCCGCGCCCTCTTACCCATGATCTGTTTAAGAATTTTGCCGATAGTTTTGGCATTGGCCTAAAAGAAGTCATCATCCATAAATTACAGGATGGTGTCTTCTTTTCGGTTTTGGTATGCGAAAAAGATGGTGAAGAGCAAGTGCTTGATGCCCGTACTTCGGACGCAGTGGCTTTGGCTATTCGCTTTCAGTGCCCGGTATATACCTATAAGGAGATTCTTGAAAAAGCCGGTGTCATTTTAAAGGAAGGCTCAGATACGCGACCCGAAGAAAAAGAAGCTGATGACCGGCCTGCCCCGCAGCCCCTGGAGGAGAGCAGCACCCCATCCTCAACCGCAGAATTAAACACTAAGAGTACTAAAGAATTGTACGCCATACTGGATAAGGCGGTAAAGGAAGAAAACTACGAATTGGCAGCCCGTGTGCGGGATGAGATAGACAAGCGTAGTGCTAATTAATCTCCTCTGAATTCTAAACCTTAAATTCGCAGCTTTCGAGCTTAAAAATCATGGCCGTGCGAATATTCCTGAGTATTATTTTCTCCCTGCTTCTGAACCTTGGTTTTGGGCAGGAAACCCTCAAATACCGTTGGGCTTTTGATCGTATTGAAAACCTGGAAGGTACCAGCCTTCTGCCCATTGATTCTACCGATTACTTTCAACTCAGGGAAGACAGCACTTTTCGCTACCAGCTTAAAGCTAAGGATAATTTAATAGCTGAAGGCACCTGGATACAACGTAATGATTCCCTCATCCTGAATTATACGCTTCCCGCAGATACCACCCGGTTTTATAAACTTATAACGGCCAATGACACCTTGCTGGCTATCAATGAAGGGCCGGTTAATTTTACTTTTCGGAAAAAACCTACTCAAAGTTCCGTTGCTTCGTCCGGTTTACCGGTAAACTATGACTTTACAGGTGGCAGTATTTCTATGGCTTCACTGGCACGGGGTATTTTAGGGATCAGCGTATTGGTTTTTTTGGGTTTTTTATTCTCCTCTAAAAAGAGAAAGATAAACTGGCTTCTGGTTATAAAAGGCCTTATTATTCAAGTGTTATTTGCTCTGGCTATTTTAAAAGTACCGGCCGTTCGGGTCATTTTTGATTTTCTCAGTGAGAAATTTGTAACCTTATTGGGCTTTACGCGGGAAGGTGCAGAGTTTCTATTTGGTGGCCTTATCACCAATACAGAGTCGCTGGGTTAAATCTTTGCCTTTCAGGTTTTACCTACGGTTATCTTCTTCTCGGCACTTACCAGCCTGATGTTCTATTATGGCATTCTCCAAAAGATTGTATACGCTTTTGCTTGGGTGATGAAACGTACTATGAAACTGTCCGGAGCAGAGAGTCTGGCTGCCGCAGGTAATGTTTTCCTGGGGCAAACCGAATCTCCCCTTTTGGTAAAACCCTACATCGGCAAAATGACCATGTCTGAACTACTGTGCCTCATGAGCGGTGGCATGGCTACCATTGCCGGTGGCGTACTAGCCGCTTATATTGGGTTTTTGGGCGGTACGGAAGTAGCTCAGCAGATATTTTTTGCCAAGCACTTACTGGCAGCCTCAGTAATGAGTGCCCCAGCCGCTGTGGTAGCTGCCAAGCTTTTATTGCCTGAAACGGAAAAGGTGAATGAAGATATGGCCATTGAGCAATCACGCATAGGCACCAATGCCCTGGAGGCTATTTCCAATGGAACTACCGAAGGCTTAAAATTAGCCGTAAATGTTGGTGCGATGCTGTTGGTTTTCCTGGCTTTTATAGCTTTTGCCAATAGTATTTTTGCCTTTATTGGTGATCCACATCAATTAATTGTAGGCAATTCTGTGTGGATAGATTATAAGGGGTTTAATGATTGGGTAGCTGAAGTATCCAACGGACGTTACGAGGAATTTTCACTGCAATTTATCCTGGGTTACAGTTTAGCGCCTATTACCTGGCTTATGGGTGTGGATAGCCGTGATATGGTTTTGGTTGGACAACTCCTGGGGGAGAAGACTATTCTCAATGAATTTGTGGCATATGTTTCGCTTGGAGACATGAAACAGGCCTCAGCCTTTGCCAGCCCCAAGTCCATTATTATAGCTACTTACATTTTATGCGGCTTTTCCAATTTCGCAAGCATCGGCATACAAATCGGTGGAATTGGTTCACTGGCTCCTTCGCGTAAGGCAGACCTGTCCAAGCTGGGATTTAAAGCCCTGATTGGGGGTACGCTGGCATCCTTATTTACTGCAGTTATTGTGGGGATGTTGATTTAATAAGAAAGTCTGTGCTTCCCGATTCTTGTTAAAAGTTTGTGTAGAAAAGAAAACCTTCAGACTCTACAGCTTCAAATCGCCTTCTTATCTTTGAATACTCATATTTTTCTATGCAACAGTATCATAAATTACTGCGTCATGTTCTGGAAAATGGCAACTCCAAGGCAGACCGTACCGGTACGGGTACTCTTTCAGTGTTTGGGTATCAGATGCGATTTAATCTACAGGAAGGGTTTCCGCTCCTAACAACCAAAAAGGTGCATTTGAAATCTATCATCCATGAATTACTATGGTTTCTGAATGGTGAGACCAATATTCGTTATCTCGTTAAAAACGGGGTAAATATCTGGAATGAGTGGCCCTTTCAAAATTACTTGCGTGAAAATGATCTTCACATGAGGCTTTCTAAACATTCCCCTGAATGGAAAGAAGCCTTGAAGAATTTTATAAATCAGGTAAAAGAGGATGAAGCTTTTGCTCAAAAGTGGGGAGAGCTTGGCCCGGTTTATGGAAAACAATGGAGAAACTTTGAGGGTGTTGATCAAATAAGCCAGTTAATTGAAGACATTAAGAGCAACCCTGATTCAAGAAGACTGTTGGTATCTGCGTGGAATCCAAGAGAAATTCCGGTAATGGCCAAATCAGGTTTACCACCTTGCCATACCTTGTTCCAATTTTATGTAGCTGATGGAAAACTGAGCTGTCAGTTGTATCAACGAAGTGCTGACATTTTTCTTGGCGTGCCTTTTAACATTGCATCCTATGCTTTACTTACCATGATGATTGCCAGGGTATGCGGACTTGAATATGGCGATTTTGTACACACCATGGGTGATGCACATATTTACAGCAACCACATGGACCAGGTGCAGGAACAATTGAGCCGTGATTTCAGAGACCTGCCGGAAATGAAGATCAACCCTGATGTTAAAGATATTTTCAGTTTTAAATACGAGGATTTTGAACTGATTAATTACAATCCTCATCCTCCCATTAAAGCCCCTGTGGCAGTTTAATTAAATCAGAGCTCACAAACCACGTGGTGAAAGCCAAAATATCTTGGAAACACTTTCCCACTACTCTAATTTACAAATAGATGAACCTCACATTAATTGCCGCTATGGCACAAAACAGGGTTATTGGCAACAATAACAACTTGATCTGGCACCTCCCCCGTGACATGAAGCACTTCAGGGAGTTGACCACCGGACACCACGTTATAATGGGTCGTAAAACTTTTGAAAGTATGAATAGCCGTCCCCTGCCTAAGCGTGAGAATATTGTGATCACCAGGCAAAAAGGATATGAGGCCAAGGGGTGCATGGTAGTGCATAGCCTGGATGAAGCTCTTGAAAAAATTACAGGAGATGAACAACCTTACGTAATAGGTGGCGCAGAAATATATAAGGAAGCCCTGAATAAAGCCAATACCATAGAGCTAACTCTTATTTATAACGCTTTTGAGGGCGATACATATTTCCCTGAATTAGATACGGCCAATTGGAAGGAGGTACAGAGAGAACATCATGTAGCTGATGAAAAAAATGCGCACTCTATGGACTTTATCACCTATAAGCGTGGCTCATAAGAAGAGAAAATGATTTTTTAAGAAACTGCTTTAAGAGCCTTTAAGGACATCTTCTCCATTTTCTGTGAAGCGTAGTCTTCATCTACTGTAAGCGTTTGCTCTTCCTCCTTGCTGGGAAGCTCAAACATTGCATCCGTTAGAATAGTCTCTATGATAGACCTGAGTCCACGGGCACCCAATTTGAATTCTATTGCCTTTTGCACCACATACTTCAAAGCCTCCTCGGTAAAGTCAAGTGTAACACCATCTATTTCCAACAGTTTGGTATACTGCTTTATAATAGCATTTTTGGGAGTAGTAAGTATGAGTGCCAGAGTTTCTTCATCAAGCGGGTTCAGGTACGTAAGTACCGGCATCCTACCAATAAGCTCCGGAATAAGACCAAAAGTTTTAAGATCCTGAGGAGCGATATAGCGTAAAAGGTTTGAACTGTTATAGTCCTCTCTTTCCTTGGTACTATGGAAACCTACGGAACGCGTATTCAGACGCTTGGCAATATGACGATGAATGCCATCAAAAGCACCCCCTGCCACAAACAAAATGTTGGAGGTATCAACTTCTATAAATTTCTGATCCGGATGTTTACGACCTCCCTGTGGTGGCACATTTACCTTGGTACCCTCCAATAATTTAAGGAGAGCCTGTTGCACTCCCTCCCCGCTTACATCACGTGTAATGGAAGGGTTATCACTTTTCCGGCTGATCTTGTCAATTTCGTCAATAAAAATAATTCCGCGTTCAGCCGCCTTAATATCATAATTGGCCGCCTGAAGAAGTCGTGTGAGTATGCTTTCCACATCTTCTCCCACATAGCCGGCCTCCGTAAGAACTGTGGCATCCACTATGGTAAAAGGCACGTTTAGCATGCGGGCAATGGTTCTGGCCAATAAGGTTTTACCGGTTCCGGTTTCACCCACCATAACAATGTTGGATTTTTCAAGCTCTACATCCTGAGTAGCTGCATTACCTTTTGTTAAGCGCTTATAGTGATTATACACCGCCACAGAAAGAACTTTTTTGGCTTCATCCTGACCAATGACATATTGATCCAGAAATTCCTTAATCTCACGGGGTTTAATGAGCTGTAATGATTTGGAAAGCTCCTTACGCTCCTTCATATCCATCTCCTCCACCACAATACCATGTGCCTGACGGATACAGTGATCACATATATGACCATTGATACCGGCAATTAATACGTTGGTGTCTTTCTTATCTCTTCCGCAGAAGGAACAACTTAAATTTTCTTTTTTCGCGCTCATTGAATCAAAATCTCATCTACAAAAGTATAAAATCCATCACCGGCATTTGATAGATGGATTTTATACGATCAGGTTAGCTTAGATTAATAACTAATCTTTTGCTCTTTTAGTTTCCAAAACTTCGTCAATCATTCCATATGCTTTGGCTTCTGACGAACTCATCCAGTAATCACGGTCAGAATCTCCCTCTACTTTTTCGAAAGTTTGCCCGCTGTGATTGGCTATAATCCGGTACAGCTCTTCTTTCATTTTCAGCACTTCTTTCACTGCAATTTCCATATCACTGGCCTGGCCCTGTGCTCCACTCATAGGTTGGTGTATCATTACACGGCTATGGCGCAAGGCACTACGTTTACCATCTGCTCCCGCGCACAACAAAACGGCACCCATTGAGGCAGCCATACCTGTACAAATAGTTGCCACATCAGGATTTACCAATTGCATGGTATCATAAATTCCCAATCCTGCATATACCGAGCCTCCGGGGCTATTCAGGTAGATCTGAATATCTTTTTTAGAGTCTACAGATTCCAGAAAAAGTAACTGAGCCTGTACAATATTGGCAACCTGATCATTTATACCAGTGCCTAAGAAGATAATCCGATCCATCATCAAACGGGAAAAAACATCCATTTGAGCTACGTTCAACTGACGCTCTTCTATAATGTAAGGTGTTAAAGAGGAGTCTATATAATTACCCACTTGCAGGGAGCTAAGACCTTGATGGCCGGTAGCGTATTTCTTAAATTCTTTGCCGAAGTCCATTAATTCGATATTTTTAGTAAATAAACAAAAATGGCTCGACAAGTATCGAGCCATTAGGATTTACATGACAAAAGTTCCGATATACGGCTCTAGTCCTTCTGCATTTCTTTCAAGAATTCATCAAAAGTTACTTCCTTTTCTACCAGCTTAAGGTGGTCCTTAAAGAACTGAATAAGCTTAGCACTGAATAATTGATCGGTAATGCGTTGCATCTCATCTTTATTCTCCATAACCCGGGCTGCAATAGACTCAAGATCTGCCTGCTCCGGTGCCTGCCCATATTGCGCCATCTGGCGACCAACCAGATTCATGGTATACTGCTTTAATTCCTCCTCAGTAACTTCAATATTGTGTTCCTTTATTACACGGTTCTCCACCAATTGCCATTTCATGCTCTCCTTCATTTCAGGATACTGGTTCTCTACCTCTTCAGCTGAAATGGGTTTTTCACCAGCGGTTTGCATCCATTTTTTCAGGAATTCTTCAGGAAGGTCAAACTTCATTTTCTTTAAGAGCACTTCCTTTACGTCTTCGTAAAATTTACGCTCACCTTCTCCTACAAACATCTGCTCTGAGTCCTCCTTGATCTTCTGACGAAACTCTTCCTCATTTTTCACTGTACCTTCTCCAAAAACCTTATCAAAAAGCTCCTGATTTAAAGGTGCAGGATCAAGTTTACTGACTTCCTCAATGGTGATCTCAAAATTATCTCCAGCTTTGTCAATATCCTCAGCCTCTACCTTTAACATGCGGTGCACATTGGTGTCTTTGTCAAACGCTTTTTTGATATTAAGAACCAGCTTATCCCCAGCTTTTTTGCCTTCTAACTCTTTCAAAACCTTCTTCTGATCTATAGAATCAGTATCAAAGGTGCCTGTTGCTTCCAAACCATCTTCCACGGCTGCTCCTTTGGCGTCAACCTCCTTAAATGCAGCCTTAATGATGGTACTTTCGCCTACGGCTTCAGGGTATGACATAGTTCCAAAACGCTTGGCGTAATCGGACACATAGCGATCAAGCATTTTTTTATCTGCTACAATCTTATAGGCAGGAACTTTGGTTTTATTGTCAAAGTTGAGTTCAATATCAGGTGTAAGTCCCAATTCAAACTCGAAAGAAAATTCGGTTTGAGAATCCCAATCAATTTCATCTTGCTGCACCGGAAGAGGGTTTCCCAGGATATCCAGCTTTTCATCGCGGATATGGTCATACACCGCATGTTGCAAAATATGATTTACCTCCTCTACCAAAACTGCTTTTCCATACTGTTTTTTGATAAGCGAAGAAGGTACCCGACCAGGTCTGAAACCTGGGATAGACGCACGCTTACGGTAGTCACTAAGCGTTTTGCTCACTTTCTCCTGGTAGTCTTCAGGATTGATCTCAACGGTTAGCACCGCACTTAATTCACCTGTATTTCTGGTAGTTACATTCATCGTGTCAACTATTTTACCCTTAATTTTTTGGGAGCGCAAAGTTAACAATATCCTTAACCTTACCACACATTTTACTATACTTTTTGATTTACAGCTGTAAGGCTTGTACACTCACATACAGATTAGTAAGTCATTCTTTTATTACAGATCTTCCAAAACTCAGTCTAATCTTGCCCTTTCTTAAAAGGTATACTCCTTTCGGAAAGTTTATGGCGCTTATGGGTTTGCTGAATATTTATCTCAGGAGAATCAACCTGAGGTTTTATATTTAAAAATAAGCCGAGTCATTTTTTCAATCTCATGTTGAAGACAGCCTGATCGCGAATTATTAAAAATCTAAATATCAGATACTTAAAAAAATGAAATGACAACAAACGAAAAAAGGTAGTTTACAAAAAGTAAGATTATTCTTATACTTTTATTCCCCGATCCGTATTGTTCAGCACTTTTGAAAGCTATTTTTATTTACATTTAGCCCGTAAATAAAAACAAATGAGGCATTTCATACTTACCCTATTTATCATTTTAACAGTAAGTTACGGCTACAAGGCGCAGGAATCACTTTCCGGCCATCTAAACACCGGTTTGATTATACCTTTTACTGATTTTACCGAGTCCAGCTTTAGAGGAACGAAACCCAACGTATTAATATCTGCCGGTTTAGGCTATCAGTTTAATGTGCCTAACCTGCGACTCAGAGGTGATATTACTGCCGCCACTATTGATGGAGATGACAATGTATTCTTTCATGAAACCACCTTTTACGAAGGTTTGCTTTCTCTTCAGTATAATATTGTTCCATTGTTTAGTGACTCAAAGTTTAAACTTTACCTGACCGGTGGAGCTGGTGGCGTTTTTTACTATTCAAAATTATACGATATCAAAACCCGCAGTTTAGTGGCAGAGTCGCCAAACCCTGCTGAGCAAAGCCTTTCCTTTAATCCGGTTTTGGCCGGGGGAATTGAAATGGGCTATCCTATTTCCGACAATCTGGAGATTAACCTTGGTTTTACGGAAAGGGTAGTACTCTTTAATGATTACATAGATGCTTATAAAAGCGGAGACTTCAATGATCTCTATGGCTCTTTAACCGCTGGTTTAACTTTTTACCTCAAGGACAAAAAGGATAAGAGTAAAGTAGAACTGGATCGCTCAAAATATAACCAGCTGATATCCACCATTGACAGCCTTGAAGGGGCCAGTAATAACGGTAACCCGGAGGACATTGCTAAACTTGAGATGGAAAAGCGTGAGAAAGATCTGAGAATACAAATGCTGGAAAATGAACTGGATAGCATGCGGGCCAAAGTGGTAAAACTGGATACGGAAAAGAGAAACATGCCTCAGGCACCTGATGCTGAGCAACTACTTTCACGTCCTCAGTACCGTTTGATAGTGGCCAGTCTCCCTTCCCGTGCCATGGCGCAACGCTGGATGGATCGCTCTTCACTTGATAAATCCGAAATGATTATTATATATGTTGAAGACATAAATACGTATCGGGTAATTTATAAATCCTACGACTCTTACTCCGCAGCGCGTAAGGAACAACAGCAAATAAAATCTGTGGTTTCCGATGCGTGGATCAAAAAGTTCTAAAACGAAAACGATTTAAATACAAAAGGCCGCTCTTTGGAGCGGCCTTTTGTATTTCCGGTGTGCCTGAATCCTTAAACCCGGTCTATAACGTTAACCAGCTCTTCAGCGGCAAAGGGTTTTATAATAAATTGAACGATATTGTTGTAATTCAATGATTCATTCTTATCATTCTCACTGGTACTTGAAGTAACTATGGCCACTTTATTGGCCTTTTTCTCATCAGCCATTTGCTGAAGAAAATCCCATCCGTCCATAATCGGCATATTCAGATCTAAAAATATCAGATCAGGGTTAATCGAATCAATTTTATGATAAGCCCCTTCCGGATCGGTAAAATCATATATTTCACAATCAGGAGCATTCATCTCCAAAAATTTCCGCATTATGAAATTGGACATCTCCTTATCGTCCACCAGCATAATCTTTTTCATCTCAATTGTGGTTTTAGCTTGGTTTCAGTATGCTGTATAACCTGACGCAGGACAGCATCCAGATCATGGCTGGCCTCCTCCAGTAGTAACAACTCCTGTATACCTAATTGTGGTTTACTTTGCTTGATAAGGTTAATTAACCCCATGATCCTTGAAAGTGGCTCCCGCACTTCATGGGCATTAAGCCTTATTATTTTTCGCAACTCCTGATTCTTGGATCTTATATCTCGGGTTTTTTTAGCAATTTCCAAACGCTGGAAACTTACAAGAGCGCTTATTTCCTCATTCTTACATTGAACAGCTTTGAGAGCATGGTTTAATTTTTCATTCTTACTATCCAGGGCTTCATAAAGGGTAAATTGGATAAACTTGGATAAAAGACTCTC